TCTCCTTTCACATAAAAACAATCCAATATTTTAAAGTTAAAACGCAAGTCTGCTGCCACATTACGCAGGTTTGGACTGGTTTCGGTGTTTTCTTCAAAACGTTCTTTCTCAGCTTCTCACTTTGGGTAAGAAATGAAGCAGAAGATACTTACAAGAACAGCAGTAACTGACAAACACGTCACCAAAGTCCACCCACAAAGCTTATAAAAAACAGCCACTTCATAAAGCCTGGTTTACTTTCACTAATTTTTCTCTAAGATCTTTTAAACTCATTCCAAACAAAACCTTCCAAATACTCCATATCACCAAAAGCATTGTGTATGAGTGTGTCTGTGTGCTTCTACCACCACTCCCTGCTTTCGTCCACCATCTTCCTTTATCTTCTTTATCTCTCTCCCCCAACTCTCTCTCCATTTCAATATTGAAGAGAGTTTTATTAAGGGCTAGACTCGGGTGTGCTGAGGCGCTCTCAGTAATTTTCCTACAAAGTGCTTTAATCCATCACACGGCCAACATGTGGCCTTTGCAGCCATACATCATCTCAGCCCAGAGAGAGAGAAGAAGTAAAAGAGAGGGGAATGGTAGCATAATTTCTACTCTCCTCCTCCCCCTCCTCCTCACGCCCTTCTTCTTCTTCTTCTTCTTCTCTACCTTTCCACCTCCCACCACAGTTTCCCACCTGGGATAGGAACCGCATCTTCTGCACATATTCCTCAGTCAAGTCCTCTCTCCATTTACAAATGAGAATGAGGCATGAGGGAGGGGGGTTAAGCAAAGAGAGGGAGCGAAAATGAAAGAGATGGAGATAGGCGTGAGTGAATGAGTGTTTGAGGGAGAGAGTGAGAAAGAAAGAGATAAGGAAAATGGAGAAAAGCTTACTGGAATGAATTAAAATTGGGGACAAAAGCGGAGGAGAGGAAGTCAGAGTGTGTGTGTGTGGGGGGGGGGTGCACGCGCAGTCGCGCACAAGGTGTGTGCATCTGTACTTGCATGAGGAAATAGAAATAGGCAGAGAAGGAGTGAAGATGGGGGAGAGAAAAAAAAAGCCCGCATTTCCCAGCATGCAGCTGGTGTAGTGTTGCCCTCTGTGTTGCCCCCGGCCAACACCTGCCTCCATTTCGCTCCCTCCGCCCTCCTCGCGCTGAGGAGCAGCGGTGAACTCTGGGCCCCCGGACTAATGGAATGGGCCCTCTCTCCCAACCATTAGAGGATTGCTGTCCCTTTTCGCGCCCCTGGGTGCCCTACGGTACAGAAAAGGTAGAGGAAGGGGCGAGGGAGAGGATGGTGGCACATCAGACTTTTTTGTGTGGCCGCACACACACACACCTGACCATAACATAACAGCCCGGAGTAATCCAGCCAGAGGAAGGCTTGACATAGCTTAGCATCTGACTGAGGCCATTTCTGAGAGGATATTAGAAATACTGAATTGGGTGCAGCGCTATGAGGTTTCAGAGAAGCAGCTCTCTGAATGTGTACGACAGCGGCCTCGGCTGATCGTGAAGCGTTTGTGTGATTTCATTTAGCCAGTAAATCCAGTGCTCTACCTCAATTACATCTGCTTTACTCGGATGGAAAACACACCTCGCGTGTACAGAGGGGAGGAGAGGGGAGGGACGGGGGAAGCATGGAGCGGACTGGGGATTGAATCTCTCGATGAGCTGATAGCACATTCGCAGACAGCAAGCCAAGCTGTGCCGCAGTAATGTTATGCTAATGATATGGAAATGATATGGTAATCTGCCAGCAGTATTCCACCTCACTGGAGAGAAGGAGAATCTGGTAGGCCTTTCACCATTGGTTTGAGACCAGGGACTTCCTGGTGTCAGAGTTCAAGACAAAAACCCTGCACACACACACACACACACACAGCACTTAATTCTTGAAGCAGTGTTCTCAGCTAAAATAAAAACAATGCAATGCATAGACTTAATCTGGCTCTAATCGGATTTGCAAACTCATAAGTAAGCAAGAAATAATACTTGTAAACAAACTAGTATCATGTGATGTAACTTAAATCTAGGTCGGCTGTATTGTAAGTAAGCCTGCAAGCTGAGACTTTGTTTTTGTTTTTTTTATCAGCATGTAATATCAAGTCGCTGTGCTGTTGTTGTGTGCCGGCATAAAGTGAAACAGAAAATCATCTATTTCAGATTGTGATCAGGTTCTTTTTTTCTTTGTCATTGTGTGTGAAACTGTGCACCTGTAATGGCTGTCATTACCTGCCTAGTCAGAGCATCTCTTTCTCTCTGGCTCGTAATGATTGCATTACACTGCCACAGCCTTGGTTGGAGATGAGACTCGCCATTGTATGACAGTAATCTTTTGAATCCACGTCAGCACTGCCACACAGCCGTAATAATTACAAGCAAGAGCTTCCTGGGTGCACTGAATTTGTTGTGTTTGGTTCTATATTAAAATTTTGCTACAGTTCACGGCATCTTATCTTATTGGCAATAAGCCGATTTACCCTCTAATGTAAAGGAATGTTGGCAATCTATAAGCCATCTCTAAAGTCTAAAAGAAGTGAAAGATAAAATGTGGATACATAAACTGGATCTCTTTGACACATTTAAAAATCATAAAGACTGACAGGGAAGGCTTCAGTGCATCTGCTACCAAAGAGGCACCTGCAAAAAGCAAGTACAGTGCATCACAGCAAACCTGTCCGTGTGGCATAAAGACATCATCTCAGATATTTTGCTTTGTTTTTCTTTGTATTGTACAGTTGCAAAATGGATATGTCAAGTCTGCACAATGGAGAGATGCGATGACATTTCCTTGGATGCTGTACACTAAATCAAAGAGACCAACAGTATGTTGAGTGCCAGCATGGAGACATTTGATTCCCATTCCACTCATGCAGCATTACCGGTGGAATGCCAGCAGACATCACAGTCCTCCCCAGCTGGCGATGGGCTTGTCAGACTTTTTATTCCACTTCAGTGTTTTCAAAAAATAAATAAATCTCACAGCAAATTGTGAAGTTCCGGCTTCTTCTTGATATTACGGTATTTACAATAGGTTTGACTTAACAAAGGCGATTTTGTGTCAGTGACATTTAGCGTCAGCCTCTGGCGACAGACAGGTAAGAGAAGCCAGTCAGCGGATTGGACCTGGGAGGGGGGGTCGTGAAAGTGGGGGTTGTCTGAGGCTCTTCTCAGGATACGGTGGTGCTGGGTTGGACGCCGTATTATCCTCAACAATAGACTACTACAGAATAACACCACATCATCCTATCACTTATTTCGACATTGCTCCAAGATTGTATGTTTTACAAACATAAAACCAGTTATTGCACAATGTGTTTCACAGCACCGTGTATATACATAAATATAGTCAATGGGAAAATGTGTTTGCTTTTGTTTTGGTCATTACAAGTGGTCAAGGGGGCTACCAGTGGTGTGTAAAAGAGCAGAAAACAATGCAGGAAGAGGAGCAGGGGTGTTTGTGTGCGTGCATAAGGGACAATGAGAGAGAGACAGGCAGAGAGGAAGACAGCAACGGGGGTGGACTGTCCAATACACTCCTGATAAAGGTCAAAGAGATGTTTTATTCATGATCCAGGCAACAGCAGCAGAGGCAGAGGCAGCGGGGCCAAGGTTGAAATGAGCTCGGGTCCCTGTTCCCTGGAGCCAAGGCCGCACACAGCCTCTCACCAGGCCGGCGGACACTCCCCCCTAACTCTTATCAAAAATGTCAAAACACACACCTTCCATATTACTTATCAATAACTCCAAATCAAAGTTTATTGATTGTCTGCCGTGAGCAAAATCGATGGAGGTATGTACATCTGCTGCTAAAGAACAAAGTAATGCACTTTAAATGAATGAAGTGCAACAAAAACCTCTTCTGGGGAGTCTCAAGACTGTAGGTGTGATGTAATCATATTTTCTCAGATCTCCCACCTGTAGGGGAGTATCTGGAACCAATTATAAACAGAACTATGAAGATGAAAAACCTAATATCTGAAAAATTCAAGATATCCACTATTTTGCATGAACTGTTTTAAATCTGACCGTCCACATGCTATTTAATGCATTAGCATTATGGATCGTCCTCACTGTGTTTAAGGTCAGGCACGGCATCTGGGTGCTTTACTATCTGAAATGTTCATGATGGATTGTTCACACCATCTTTTCAATCAAATAGTACATTTTACCCTAAGAATCTGTGTTTATTAGCCAGTCTTTACATTGAAAATGAGAATTGAAATTCTGAACCTAAATATAACAGAGCACCGCAGAAATGGATGTCAATTCATACGGGCTCTTTTTTCAAATCTTTCTGACTGTGAATCTTTCATAAAAGAGAATCAGAAGAAGTTCATTTCAAAAATATCTTATGCCCTTGAACCGCCTCTTTGAACTCGCCCTTACAAAAAAGCAGAACTACCGCATGCCACCTAACCAAGACCCGCTCCGAGCCCTTATTTCTTATTGCTTTTTTTTTTTTTTTTTTGAGGGAGCTGACACACTTTCAAACTCAACAACCAAAGTAACCTTTAAAGTATTGATGTGGATAAGTCAAATCTAGTCTTCTGACAAATGGAAAGATTTCAGCATGACAGATTAAAACCCAGGCAAATAGGTAAAGACCCAATCATCTCCAAAGACATTCAACTGGAGCTATTTCCACATATAAGAGTTTCTCACAGGCATAAACGAAGGTCGGCTAGATAGAAATGTGCGTATATGTGTATGTGTGTGCCTTCCTGGTTGTATATATCTGTCTTTTCATATGTGTGTGTGTGTGTGTGTGTGTGTGTGTGTGTGTATTTGTACAGCCTACCCTATGTGTCTTTGATCAGATATGAAATATTCAGAAAGGCTGCTGTAATTTGATGAAAGTCAGATATCCCTCAAACAGGAAACAGAAGTCAGCACTTTGGCAGCTCTTAAAAAAAAAAAGGCCCTCAGTAACCGGATTTAGAAAACATCAATTGCATCCATAGGTACCATAGGTACAGGTAACAACAGGGGCTTTAAACGTGCACTGACCCGTTGGATGAACTCCAGTCCGTGCTGCTTGGCCAGGGCTCTGGCAGCTCTGATGCCGCCATCCATCTGAACGGCATAGTAGACATGGCGGTTGGTCCCACTATGCCCCTCTGTGGTAACTAGTTTCCTCTGCAGCAGGATGCCAACCACCAGCAATACTGCACTGAACATGGAGCCTTTAAAAAGAAGATATAGGATAAAATGATTGATTGCCGGTCAAATTGTAACATTTTACAAATCTATGTCGATTATGTATGTTTAAGGACAATGTGTGAGTCTTAGCCCACACCGCTACACTTCATAATGCTGTTTTTGTTTTGTCTTCCAAAAGAAGTGTCACACCCTAACGAATGCCTTCATGTTCGATTAATCTGCAGGTTATTTTCCTGATTAAATAATTTGTCTATAAAAAGTCAGAAAAGAGTGAAAGGTATTCAAATAGCATGTTTGTATGACAAAGAAAAGCATCAAATTCTCACATTTAAAAAACTGGAACCAGCGAATGTTTGGCTTGAAAAAAAGACTATTACTATAATCCAAAAAGTCGCCCATCATTTTTTTGTCAAATGATATGTAACAGGATTTAATATCCCACTGGATATGTTCACTCTCCATTGGTCATTTATGATGGTCTAACAACTGACATAAATATCTATATTAGAAAAACACAAACAGCTACAGTTTAAAATATTACCATAACACTCCAAATACCATCTAACTACACAAATGAGTTTATAGAGTGTGGGATTTAGCATCTCGGCACGGAGTATTGAACATTGGCAATTGTGAAACAATTTGCCCACAGCCACCTCCTCTGTACTTTTGCATGAAATCCACAGTGGCTGCCACCTACAGCATGTGAACCACCCACCTGTAGCCACAGAGAGCGAAACGTCCAGGAGAAATCTTTCACCCAGTGCGATGAAAGCTAGAACTCTGGCATCGGGGGCCCCAAGTGAGACAACACACTCTCTCCAGTTCCCAACCCACACGTTTAATCTCCTGGCCTTGATGCAAATGCTTCTGAGAGCAGAAAAACAGTGGCACTCTCATTGTGTGAACTAACTTCCCTCTTTAAGCAAAACAGGAACTTTATCAGTCCTTTCTTTATGCCTGCGCTCGCCTGAAAATGACGACAGAACAAAAAAGTTGTCACCTCACTCTTCTCGGTATCTACTCGACAAGAAAAAGCACCCAGTATTGACATGCAGTATTGACATGCTTAACCTCCCACTACTTCCCCCCAGATTTTGCAACTAACATTTATTGCTGATCCATGATGTTGGTCAATGTGTTGAATATACATAAGTTAATACAGAATGCAATTAGGAAAGCAGTTGTGTAAATTGTTGATCAGTTGTTTCCCACATACTACCCATACACACAGCTCCTAAACACTGAGAGACTGCATCTTAATAAAGCTGCAACTATTGTCACGTATGACTTTCTGTTGTCATTCTCTCTGTCTGTACATACAACTTCTATTGCTTGTCTGTCCATCCTGGGAGAAGGATCCCTCCTGCGTTGCTCTTCTAGAGGTGTCTTCCATTTTTCAATTTTTTTGGTGAAGACAGAGGGTGCTGTACAGATTGTAAAGCCCCTTGAGGCAAATTGAGATATTGGGCTATAAAAATAAAACGGATCCACAGAAACTATATCTGCAACTATGTTGATTATTGTAGATTAATTGAGAAAATGATCAACAGATTCATTGACAATGAAAATAACTGATAGTTGCAGGCCTACATCTAATCATTAATGTGGAATCTCTACTTAGGTTTATTTGGGCCATTTCGCACCCCAACTACTCCCACTGACATATAATAAAACTCCAAACTAGAAGATTAAGATCTCTCACTCTATAAAATTCTGTCTGTAACTTTATCTGACTTCCCTTCAGAAGCAAAGTGCCTCTTCCTGCAGCATTTCTCCCCCAAACAACAAACAGTACAGCTGACCACCGTTTAAAGTCTATAGCACCATTCAGCACCAATCTCCCAAGCCACTGATTGAAATCAATAATTTAGCTTGGGGCCCGGGCCCCAGTCAATCCCACTGAGGTGCAGGGCCAGCAGCGTACACCCCACCCAGCGAGGAGCGGGCCTCGGGCAGAGACGAAGGAGACAGGGAGAGAGAGGAAGGGAGAAAGGGAGAGCACGAGACTGGAGTACAGGAGAGCCACGTTGAACAGTGTCAGGGCTGCAGGGCCTACTGGGACGCTGATAAAGTACCTGACCATTTTTATAGACAAACTACTTATTTCCGTCCTCATATCGCTTGGGAAGACTGATAACTTTATATTCCTCTCAGGCAGACGAATGAAAGGAGGTGGTGGTGGGGGGAGGGGGGGGTGGCTTTCAGGAGTTTAATTGATCAAACTGCACTCGCCCCTGTACAATGCAGAGATCTTTTAGAAAGCAGACCCAATGAAAAAAGAGAACGTAACTCATTATGCAAAGTCATTACAGGCCTCTGACTATACTCCTTAAAGTAGGGGAGTTAATGGTGGAATTGTATCGTACAGGATTTCCAGAGGTCAAACTACCGGTCATAGGATAACATTATTTTACAATGTCCAGATTATTAATCCGACCAAATTTATTGATGGCTGTTATTTAAGTCAAATTTAAATACCATGACTATTTAAGTGTCTGACACCAGTAAAACCTTTTTAGTTTAACCATTTCAGTACTGTTCACAAGACAATTTCGAAGGGCGCATGGGAGCCAAGCAGTACAAGTCTCTATGTTAGCAAACGTTCACCATAGAACAGAACTTTATTGTCCCACCAGAGCAGAGACTGTGCCTTTGTCTCACCAATCAAGCCAGTACTGTGTTTATTGTCAGCAAAAATAATTATCACAACAAACATCACAAATCATCATCAATGTGCAAAAGCTGATGCAAGTAATTGAATTCTCCCAGTGTGGCGATAATTGCCCGGAAGGCATGGATATTCAGAGTAGAGGGGATGTTCAGTGTCATTCACCATATACAAAGCGCCCCTGTATACAGCAACCTTATACAGCGCATCTAATGATTTTTGTCATCGTCCTACAGTTTTCTTTCTCTCTCTTTTAAAAGGAGTTATGCATCGTTTGTTTAGTAACTGGTGTACAAGCCACTCCATACTAACACAGCAGAAATGGCTAATTTAGAATTTGTATTGGTATAAGTACAATGTTAGCAGCGGGAGTGGGGTGGGGGGGGATGGCATTTTGGAATAATGTGTGAATGATCCCAAGTCAGAATAAAAATGGGAGGTGTTCCCATTTTATATATCCTGTAGACATTGCAGAAATGTAGCATTATCCGCCACCAGCAGCTGTTCTGTGACCCTCTTGCGGGTCAGGGATGAGAGGCTAAAGAAAGGCGATATTACAGGTGTTATTAGTCAGATCAGACCTCCACTCATGGCTGTGTGGGTGTGTACAGACTGTGCTTGATTAACATTTCCGTGACTCTATGTTAACTGTTTTAGGGCAGGACAACTAACACCTTTTTGGTGTGGAATATATTGAGTTTGGTGGCTTCAGTAAATGGGCCTTTTTCGCAGTCCACCAATCAGGAGATAAAGGAAACTACACATGCACTGGCTGGTGTAGTTTAATGAAAAGGGAAATTGGTAAGTAGTAAAGTAAAATGGGAAATGTTGCTTAGGTTAACTAATAATGTACACGAAATATTTCATATAATGCATGTGAATTTCATATATATATATTTAAAAGCTTTAATTATTAAAAAAAAACTGCATTATTTATTGAAGCATTTAATTTATTTTATATTTAACTTTCACTATCGTTCGTCAATTTCAGGGCTGCATAGCATGCACAGGTGTAACAAATACTACCAACAATAGTTGGATTCCATTTAGGTTGGCAAGGTCCTGGGTTTGTGCATGTTGGCTCACTGGCATGGCTCACCAGAGCACTGTTAATATTATTACTTACACATCACCTATGCCCAATTCAAAATATCAAATGATGAATATGACTATCCTGAGCATAGCTCCACCCACCTACAACCTGTTTTAGGTCTTTTCAGGCAGGAGTGGGAAACACCTGTATGGGTGTATCTTTGTGAATGTTATTTTATTTTACAGTGGAGCAAAATTTCAACAGATGTTGCTTCTGTGTATGTATGTTGGAAGTTACCCATATGTTGACTACAGTTTTTCTTGAAACACAGTTCATTAAGTTTATCAGGCTGCAAGTAATCACAACACCAGGTTATTACCTTAGCATAAGTCCAATTGCATCCATTATAGGTCATTTACTGGTGATCATGCAAATTGATGGGGAGGATTACTAGTTAGTGCATCCAGACATCTGTCTGACTCAAGTTTCCCGTCATCAAATTGTTACTCTTGAGTTTTGAATTGTGGTTTTCACACACAAGAAAATCCAACCTGGTTTAGTGCATCCAAGCCTGGAAACGAGGCTACATTTGAGGGCGAGGGGAGGGGAGATGAAACAGGTTCAAATCCGACTCCGTCCATGTACTACAGTGCCTAGAAAGGATTGAATGGGTTTGTAAAAAAAAAAACAAAAAAAACAACATTTACCTTCCCCATCCAGAGCCTTCACACAGACGGACTGGCTCCTGTTGAAAGCAGAGAGCGGGAGGTCGAAGCATCGTAAAGAACAAATCTCCCGACGCGTCCATTTTTATTGTCTCCACTGACTCCTGCTAGCCTGATAAAACGTGCAAATTAGAGCATGCAAAGCACCGCATCTATCGTGCATCTCCTCACTGGACAAGTCAAACGTGCAGAAATAACGAACAGTAAGTCGACAAAACGAGCACATCCACGGCGTGTCTGCGGAAGGGGGGGATTTTGTAAAGATGTGAGAATGCATTAGAATGCAAGAAATGGTGTGATGGCGAGAGGGACTGTTGGGAGAGACAGATCTGCATATGGAAATTAGGGTTAGCGAGGATAAAATTCTACTTAAACCTCTGCATCATTTTGTAAAAATTTGGGCGGGATCCCTGTAGTGAGAGTGACATTGGACAATAGTGACTTTGACACTTTGACATAGCTGAAGGGGACAAGAAGTGACTTGGACATCGTCTATAGAAAAGGCATGGCATGGGGCAGGTGCTCTGGTTCAGTGTATGCTAAGACATGTTTAATGATAATAATTTAGACATATTGAGCAGCAGTAATATTATAATTTCGTTTAAGGCATATGTCTGATATAGTTGGTGTAAATTGAACCTGTATGTGTTAACAAAGACCAAAGAGAACATTTTAAACTAATTCAATTACTTTCAAGTCTCACGAGGGTGACAACTGAGTTCAACGCTGTCATTTAATTTGCTCTTATACTGACCTCTCGAGAAATAAAGAAATTGATTCAGGCACGAATCTACTGGACAAACGGACAATCAGCAACCCACTCCACCGGGAGAAATAAAGCGACGGAGGAACGTGCTGCAGTGAGACCTCTCGCTGTGTGTGTGTAGATCGATACGACCACGCCCACAGTGAAACTTCGGACCAATCACCGGGCGCGGGGCGAGTGTGCGCATGCGTGGTGTAGACGCGCGGGAGAGACTGAAAACCCAAACAACGCACTAATGACGGCTGTGTAATCTTAATATTTTGCTTTAAATTTACGGAATATTACGCCACATAAGACGACTCAATACACGGTTTGTGAATGTTTCAATAACGTTTGTGTTTCTGGTGGTGCTTTGTTTACTAACGCTAACTAAGTTAGACATTCAACAGATACAATCAACGTTAACGTTACTAGAAAATACTTAACAATAACATAATCGTGCAGTGTGTGACCTACACATTGTACACACCCGCGTGTGTCACCTAAGCTGCATTGTAAAGTAACTATATAATCTATTTGGACATTACTGGCTGAAGGTTAGCTTACGCCAGTGAAACATCACGGATCTCAAATCTGTCTTCTGTTTGATTTAACATAACACTTAAGGTTACTATATGTTTTATAATGTGTAGCACTACATTTAGATGCCTGGCATTACTATATTTAATGCTGTAACGTTATATAGCATGCAAATTTTGAATATGCGTTTATATAGTGCATCTTTG